CCAGGAAAGGCGCAAAGCTACACAGAGAAACCCTGTCTCAAAAAAAAAAAAAGAAAGCAAACCATGGAGAGCAAACCAAAAAGCAGAACCCCTCCATGGCCTCTGCATCAGCTTCTGCCGCTAGGCTCCTGTCCTGACTTCCTTTGGCATAAGCCAAATAAATCCTTTCCTCCCCAAGTTGCTTTGGTCGTGGTGTTTCATTGCAACAACAGCAAGCCTAACTAAGATAGTGGCCAAGATAAGATATGAAAACAGAATTCCACAAAGACATACAAAGAAAATTATAGACCCATCTCCCTGGTAAACATAGATGTAAATTCTCGGTAAAATGCTGGCAAACCAAATTCAAGATCACTTACAAAAGAGCATTCCTCATGACCAAGTTGGCTTCATTCTGGCAATGCCAAGATGATTCAACATGTGTCAATTAATAGGCTTCATCCATAAGTGGACTCAAAGACAGAAAGCACAGGATCATCTCAAAGGCACCAAAAAAGGCTATTGACAAAATTTTACATTTCCTCATGAAAAGAGAGAGAGAGAGAGAGAGAGAGAGAGAGAGAGAGAGAGAGAGAGAGAGAGAGAGAGAGATTAGCGATGGGAGGAGCATGTCTCAACATAATAACGACTAGGTGCAACAAACTAACTTCTAGCACCTTGATGCATGGAGAAAATAAATCTAAAAGCATTGCCACTGAGATAAGGAGCAAGACAAGGGTGTCCACTCTCCCCGCTTCTATTCAATGTAGTACCTGAGGTCTTAGCTACAGCAATAAGACAAGACAAGGAAATCAAAGAGAGATAAATAGGAAAAGATAAAGACAAAGTATCTCTATTTACAGATAATGTGAATCTATACATAAGAGACGCCAGAGAACGGCTGGGTGAGGTGTTGAGACAGCTGAGCAGTGAGGCGGCCCCGGGGTGCAGCTCAGAATCCCGAACGTGGGTGTCATCAGAGCAAGGCGAGCGTTGGGGGCTCCGGAGCAGCCGTTGCTGTCACTGGGGCGCTGCTGTCCCGGACCCAGAGGGACATGGCCCAGAGAGGCCTGCAGTCCTAGCACAAGCTCGGGGAGCCCAATGAGTCTCTTCCCCTTGAGTAAAAACCAGTGCTTACCAATTAAAATGGAGGAGAATTCGTTGGCCAACTTGGATACTGACAAGCTGGAGGCCATCGCCCAGGAGATCTACGTAGACCTGATAGAGGATTCCTGCCTGGGATTCTGCCTTGAGGTGCACCGGGCGGCCAAGTGTGGCTACTTCTATCTGGAGTTCGCAGACACGGGTAGCGTGAAGGATTTGGGCAGTCAGCCAGTGGAAGACAAAGGAGCATGCGGCCTCCGGCTTTGCTCCCCTCCCGGAGAACCTGGGAACGGGCCCCAGCCGGAATTGCGGCCTTCTCCTCCAGAATTCCAGTAGTCACAACATGAGAGAGGGCGACAATGACCAGGACGATAATGTAGACTGCTCCCGTGGCTTGGAGGAGTAAGTGAAGTGTGGGGGGCGGGGGGGAGAGACAAAGAAAAAAGCAGATAAAAGTCCCAGTTACCCTTAAAGATATTAGCATTTAAAAATGAAAAACAAAACAAAACAAACAACAAACAAAAAACCTCAAAGAAGAGAGTTTAGGAATTTGGATCCATTTGAAATGGTACCCAGTGCCAGCTCCGAAATCCTGTCCAGGCACCATGCTGTATTTTGGGCTCTATAAACACACCTGGATGTACAGGATTCCTGTACTGCCCTCAGTACACAGGTGAGCAGCTGGGTACCCAGCATAGAAAATTCTTCTGTTTCTCAGATTTTGCATCTGCTTGATGTCAAGGGCTTCCTGCAAAGTCTGAATGCTGTTGATGGGTCAGGCCATAATCAGTCAGCTTCAGTGGACTGCTCCGCGGATTCCTAAGCCTCCAACTGGGCCTCTTTGATACAAAATGGAAGTCAGGTGTGGAACTTGGATACTAAAACATATTAATTCCTATTTGAATTTGGTAGAAAGCCCTGGACCTTGTCTACAAGAAGTTCAGAATCACCTGTTTTCCAAAGGTCCAGCATTTTCAGTGATTTCAGCTGATGTGGGGACAAGGCCTCGCCTTTGGCTCATCAAAAGCCCTGTCTTGCCATCCCACTCAGAGGCAACGGTCTGGCAAAGGACAAGGTGGTTTACAAACAGTTGAAGATTTTGTTTTGATGCTGTGAGGGTGAAGCGGACCCCTGCAGCTGCATTACCAACCTGGAAGATTCATATCGTGAATTACTGTGGACATAAGTTTGTGGACAGTCTTTTCCTACTTTTGAGTTACTCGTGATGTAGCCAGCCTATGGGTCTCTCTCGCTCATTATGACAGGTCACCCTGTCCTCCAGGGGCACCACTGGACTACAGAAGAGCACAGTGGCCAGGCGGGAGGGAACTTTTTCCATCTGCCCTCAGTAATGTGAATGAGTTCCATACTAAGAGCCCTGAAACGGGCCTTGCTTCCCTGGCGTGGTTGCAGAACCTCCTCTTCCTGAAACTGGGCAGTGAGACCTCTACTATGGCGAAGTCAGACTGTCCACACCTTCTCTGCCCTCACAAAGGACAGTACTTCACTCGGTCCTCTGGACCTTGTGGGCAGCAGGGGCTCTTTGTTCTTGGAAGTTAGGAAAAGACCTCCAAAAGTCCCTGACTTTGGAGGCTGGGATAGAAGTGGATGGGAAGTGCCTGGCGGATCAAAACTGTCCTCTGATTTAGCCCTTTAGTGGGGGTTTTTGGAGGGTAGGAGGGTGGCAGTCCTGAGGTGAGCAGAATAGAACGGTGCTGCTTTGTCTGAAATGTTTTCTCACCTCATTCTGTGCCCCAGTAAAGGGTCCAGCCTCATCTGGCTTGGCCACTGGATATCTGAGGCAGCTCATGGTTCCTGGTGCTGCTTACCACTCTAGCTTTTATCTTAACCAATTTCAGTTCATCTTCCAGTGTTCCTGCTTCTGAAGCCTACACAAGTTTCCTTTTTTTTTTTTTTTTTATTGTTTTGGGGGTTTTGTTGTTGTTCTCTCAAGTTTTTAAGTTTTTGTGTTGTTGGTTTTGTTTTACCTGTTTTTATGGAAGACTCAGAGGAGAATCTTCTCATGGCTCCCTCTGATTGGATTGGGATGGGAAAATAACTTAATTGTGTGTGTGTGTGTGTGTGTGTGTGTGTGTGTGTGTGTGTGTGTGTGTGTTTACAAGGCAGTGTCATGCCTAAACATTTCTCTTATATAAGACTTCCCTGCTGCTATATCTTCTGGCTTTGGTGTGAGTTCTTTCTTGCCATTGCTACTTGGATTTCACCTCTTAGGACTTAGAGCAGAACCATGAACGCTGGCATACACAAGGAGGGAGTTAGCCCTGCTCCACTTTCCTGACCCTACTGTGTATGAATCTTCCTTTTCCCAGGTTCTATTTGAACTGTATATAAACTCATTTAGGTCACTGTACTCAAGAGTCGAGGAAACCATAGTGACTGGGCCTTGAGACTACCTATTGCCTTCTCAGAGTTTTCCAGCTCAGGGTTGGGGCCCAGTTACAGTCTGATGGATCCTCAGTTCCAAGTCCATTATGAGAATTGAGGAAAAAAATTAAACCTTGACCAGGAACTAAAAATACTTTTAAAAGATAGCTTGCTACATGAGTTCTTTCAGCATTCTCAGTGAATTCAAGAAAACGCAGTCTTAAGGCTCCTGTCTATTAAAGTACTTGGGAACATGATGAAAGGGAGAATGGCCATGACCTGCTCACTCTTGCCTTCAGCTAGGAAGCTCAAATGTGACTTGAATAGTTCCTTTCTTGTCTGTTCTGGATAGAAGGAAAGAAGTGGGTGGTAGTGTGGGGTAATGGTTTGCTCATATGACTTCTGTTTTTTGTTCTTGTTATCTGCCTCCATCATTTCCATTAGGTCCATAGTTCTCCACCCTGTGTGGATAGAAGGTGGGCTCAGTTCGGCTATTCTTGCCCTGAGGGAAGAGCTACTTTTTTGGGAGCTAATGTTCTCCACCATATAGTTGACAGTGGTTAGGAACTCTTCCCTTCCCTGCTTTTCCTGTAACAGCAAAAGCCTGTCCTTCCTCTTCAATTAATTATATTGACCACTCTGTGATCCTATTAGGTATCTGAGTATGTGTGTGTGTGTGTGTGTGTGTGTGTGTGTGTGTGTGTGTGTGTGTGTGGGGGAAAGGGATTCTTTAAATTTTCTGTGGTTTGTGGCTTTTTTCTTCCATAAATTAGTTCCCACCACCACATGCCCAGGGGCTACTGCCTGGCATTATCGCATGCTGGGATCATTGGGGAAGGGTAGCATGAAATTTACCACTGTCCTTTGTTTGGGAGATTCTTATTTTTTAATAAGTAATCCATCCTATACAAACAGCTAATTAACTCTGTGTGTCCCCCTGCCCATGTGACTGCTGGTGTAAATAAATTGTATTTTCTCATTGCTAAACGGTAATAATAAAATTTTTTAAATATTTTTAAGAAAAGAGACACCAAAGACACCATCAAAATCTCTTAAATGATAGAAAATTTATACACTAAAACCACTGGTCTTCTTATATGCCAATGACAAACATTGAAAAAGAAATCAGGGGGGAAATTCTATTCACAGCAACTATAAAAACAGAATTAAAATACCAAGGAATAAACCTAAACAAAGAAATGAAAGACCTAGACAATGGAAACTTCAAACCATTGAAGGATTGAGGAGGATGCTAGATGATAGACTTCCCACACGACCACAAGTTTCTACCACCTTCTAACAGTCCTGTGGGCTAAGGACCAAGATGTTACTAATAACACATGAACCTTTGAAGGATATCCCACATCCATACTACAGCAATAAGGTATGGCCCTCACACATACCAAATATTTTCAACACTTTATAATTGAAGGTTCTATGGGACAGACATGGCCTAGACAACATAAAAATTAATTACAGTCCTGCTCATGAAGAAAATGACAAGGAAACTTGGAGAAAAAGTTGATTTTAAACACATCAGCTCATCAAGGCATCACAATTTGTGGTAGTTTAAGTTCTGGATGATTTTGTCTTCCTAGTATACTCACCAGCAATGCTGAAATAATTTGGCCTCCACAGCTGAGTGACTGGTATCTTTATATCCTAAGATGACACCACAGCCACTTTGTAGTCGGCACAGTCCTACATTTCCAATTAACTATGACTCAGACATGACTGTTAACACTTTTTAAAACCTGGGTATCAAGCTTGGTTCAGGGCTCCTTTCCACCTCAGTTTCTTCTGTCACCCCAAACAGCCATAGTGTCTAAAGTACAGGCATGGATGTAGTTTATCTCTGACAACCTTCATTTCTCCCTTACCACAGATATTTGCCACTCTGGATTCAGAGAAGACTGGAACTGGAGCTAGGCAATGAAACTCTCCCTATGTGGTTGTGTCTGAAATGTTGGTTGGGAAGGGTCCTTCCCATAATGAGGCAGCATCTACATCAGTGGTGTGCATGTGAAGCTTCAGGCTGGGCCTCTGTGTGTCTGAAACCTCCATCTCCAAGAGCCCCTCCACAGAACAACTTAGGTCCGACCTCACCACAAGTATGTGTCAAAATATCCAGAAGCCACTCTCTCCCTTCTCGTCCCCAAGTGAAGGAGAAAAGCTGAGAAGTACATCGTATATCCAGCAACAGAACAAGTGTCAAGATTCTGCACCTAAGTAAATATTTGGAGGGAGAGGTTGACAGTCTGCGCTTTCCCAAGATGCCCCAAGTCTGCATGAGGATGTTATGGAGAATGAGTCACTTGGCTCTTTAGACAGAAAAAGCCGTACTGCCTCCTCCACGGACAGGGAAGGGAAAGCATCAGCCATAAATTTTGAATGTTTACCCTCCCTCAAATTCTGGGAAAGCACGAAGAAATGGGATGGTGAGGGTGACTAGTGATAAGTAATGGTGACAACTGTCATGTAGGAAGCCCTGATGGCTATTAGTGGCTCAGAGAATCTCAGTGCCATGTGTTCTCAGCTTGGGTTTTAGACATAATTCTGAGACAAGAAAAAAAAATCAAACTCCAGATTCTCTTACACACAGGTGGGTATTAAAACCATTCTTAACTGTATGTCTTAAAGTTTCTATCTTCTCACACTAAAAAAGATTTTAGTTGTTTAAAGGTATGTTCCAGAAGAGTCTCCAAGTCAGAGTAAATGAAACCATCTGCTTTTTAATACTTCACATTTTATGGCTTCAAATGTGCTGTGTACAGCCAACCCCAGAGGAGGACAACACTAACTCACATGGACAGAGATAGAGCAGGAGCCAGGGCTTCCCACATATGGGCTGCCTGAGGCAGCCAGAGGCTACAAATGAGCATGGCAAGTCACAGGAGAGGAGGGCCCAGTGCAGGTGACTTCTACCTGAGAACCCGAGGATTTCTCACGAGCAGTGGGCATGAGAATCCGATGGAATCAACTCTAACAGAGCCCCTAACAAGCATGGGCCTCACAGTGAAAGCCCTGAGCTGATAGTCTCAACTCTACATCTACTCTGTGGATTTCAGCAAGAAACAAAACTTTCTGTATCCCTTTGTAAACACATGTAAAGTGCCCCATAGGTAGCCTTAAAGGTATTGCAAGATCACGAACACATACACACACACACACACACACACACACACACACACACACACACAGAGCTTATGTAACACAGCTGTCCTTACTGATTTTTTTATTATTATTGAAAGGTCTTGGGACTAACATTCAAGGGAGACACTGAGAATGATTTCCTTTGGAGGTAGAAAGTTATTAGAAGAGTTAGCACCATGGTCACATATACAGAAAGACAGACAACAGTGTGGTGGGAGCCCCAGTGAGAATTCAGGCCCCAGAACCATAGGAAGGCAGACACACAGTGGGACTGTTCAGCTCCACAAGGCAGGTTAAGGGTCTCTTCTTACAGGTCTCAAATAAACGGAAGGGTTCCATAGCAGGAGCTTGGAGCCCGGCAGGGAGAAGGAAGGGAATCTAGGGAAAGATTATATGTATCCAAGGACATGCAAAATCAAGGGGAGGAAAACAGATAGTTGAGGTGTACACGTTAAGTGTGGGGGTGAGGAGTGTTGACACTCTGAGGTCTATAGACTGCCTTGATTTGAAAATGGACTAGCCATTCTCCTGGAAGCTGAGCACCTAGTAATCTATTTAGAGGGGTTAGAGCTTCACAGATAGACTCTTAGGGGGTTGGCCATCTTCTCACATCCACAGTACCTATAAAAAAGCAACTTCTGCAGGCAGGCATGGCCAAGGAGTAATCTGTACTGGACACTAATAATTATGTTCTCCTAGAATTAATCTATGAATTTTTTGAAGGCTTTAGAAGTGTGGGGGCTGGCAGGGGGAGAATGTGTTAGTTCATTTTCTGTTACTATAATAAAATGTCCAAGTGTGTAGTTTGAGTGAGGAATGACCCCCTCATTCAGGTATTCGAACACTTGGTCCCCAGTTGGTGGCACTGTTTGGGGAGCCTATGGAACTTCTGGGAGGTATAGCCTTGTGGAAGAAATTCATCACTGGGAGCAGGCTTTAAAGGTTTATAGCCTCACTCTAGTTGACGTTCTGTGTCCTGTCTTGATCTCTCTGCTTCCTGCTGCTGCCAGTACACCAGTCCTTCCCTGCCCTTATGTATTAGTGGGAGTATTAAGGCAACTCCACGTAGTTAAAAGGGAGGTTTATTTTGTGGGGTAACTTACAAGTAATGGGATAGGTTACAGGGTCCGGGAAAGGTGTATTGCTGTCGAGCGGTGTTCTCTGGAGAACTCTGCTTGGTCTACCTCCAGCGTCCAGGATCCAGGAAGCAAGAGAGCTGGCACATCCCGATCTCGGGTCTTAAGGGCTCCCTCTTGCCCTTGCCTCATAGGCGTGACAGTTACTGGAAGCCTCAATGGGGGTGGTACTTCCAGGTCAAAGCTGGAGCAGCTATCCACTACACTTATGCACTCTATCCCTCTGGAACCAAAAACTAAAACCCTTAAGTGGCTTTTGTCAGAATGCTTTATCACAGCAATAAATAAATAAATAAATAAATAAATAAATAAATAAATAAATAAATAAATAAATAAATAAATAAACAAACAAAAATGTTGTGGTTTAAATGAGAATGGCAGCCATAGACTCATATGTATAAATGTTTAGTCACCAGGGAGTGGCACTATTTGAAAGGATTAGGAGGTGCGGCCTTGTTGGAGGAAGTGTGTCACTGAGCGTGAGCTTTGAGGTTTCAAGAGCCTAATCCAGGTCCAGTGGTTCTCTCTTCCTGCTGCCTTTGGATCCAGTTAATCCCTGCTATGAGGATAATGGACTAAACCTTTGAAACTGTAAGCAAGCCCCAATTAAATGCTTTCTTTTATAAGAGTTGTCAGGGTCATTGTGTCTCTTTGCAACAAAGGAATACTAAGACAGAAATTGGTATCAGGGAGTGGGATGTTGCCGTGACAGGCCTGACCATGCTGCTTGTTGGTGGAATGTGGACTTTGGGACTTTGGATTAGGAAAGCAGTTGAAGATTTTAAGTGGAGCATATGGGCCAAACTAGAATAAGCAGGGAAGATTGATGCTGAGAGCAGTGTAGATCATGAGGGCCCAGCTCAAGAGGTTTCAGAGGAGAAGAGTATGGGTAAGTGTCCTAGAGGCCATTCTTGTGATATTTTGGAAAAGAATATGACTGCTTTTTTGCCTCTGTTCAAAATATCTCCCTGAGCTTAGTTGAAGAGTTTCAGATTAATGGCACTGGCAGAGGAGATTTCAAGACAGCCTAGTATTAACTTTGTCACACGGTTATTATCTGTGTCTAACAGTATCATAGTACCTGCCACATGGTCACTCTTAGGCAGGTCTATAATGAAAAGGAGCAAGGTACGTAAGGAAAAATAATGAATGAACAGGTTTGAGGAGAAAAGGGGCACCAGGAAGCATAATGGAGCTAAGGTCTGTGCTCAAGGAGATAAAAAGATGCTAAATAGAATAAAGGGAGTAGTGACCTCCCAGCAGGACCCCACCCAAATAAGCTTCCAACTTGTGGAAAGGAATTAAAGAAAAGCTTAAACAGTAAAAAGAAACCATCGGAAACAGAAAGCAGATGTAATTGAATAAGGGGACCATGTTCCAGCCTCAGCAAGCAGCAGAACTTGGCAGCTTTAGCTAAGTGATTCTGTCTTCTGAGCCAGGGATACAAGAAAGGGGTTGTGGGATCTGCCTCTGTGACTAAAGAAAGCCACGGTAGCCAGGCATGTGTCAGGGGTGTCCCTGCACAGAGGTCCAGAGAGGCCATTGTGTGAAGAAGTGAAAATAAATCCTGAGTTTTGTTAGGGATCCCAAGATGTTGGAGATGCCAGAGTCATGGGATACCCGCCAAGAAGAACTGCCAACAGGGTGTGGAACAAGCCTAAGAGAAAGAAGTGTGTTGCAATCAAGAAGGCTAAAAGAAGTTAGAGATCTAAAGAGCGCTTTG